GTTTCCTCCAGGTGTCGAGGGAACTGCTGCGCAACCACACTCTCAACAACCTTCGCCACAAAGCGAAGGTTGGAGACTGGGCGATAATTGGCCAATACATCTGGGTCCAGGGAGGGCTTCTTGAGGAGGGGCCTCACCACCGCCTCCTTTAAGGCCGTGGGGAAGGCACCCTCCCCTAAAGAAGCGTTTACAATTCCCTCATCTAAGTCATTGATGAAGATATTGAAGAATACTGGGTTTAAGATGGAACCTTGTGATACTCCACTGCTTACTTCTCTCCATGTAGATGTACTGCCATTGAGGACTAGTCGTTGAGTATGGTTTACCAGCCAGCTACAGATCCATCTGGTGATGATGTTGTCTATTCCACCTTTTTCTAGCTTACCAAGGAGTAGTTTGTGGTTTACTTTATCTAATGCCTTACTGAAATCTAAGTATACTACGTCCATAGCATTTCGCTGATCTACTCGTTTAGTCACCTTATCAAAGAATGAAATAAGATTGGTTTGGCATGATCTGTTTTTAACAAACCCATAATGGCTACTACTTATAACTTTGTTTGCTTCTAGTTGTTTACAGATCTGTTTCTTGATTATCTTTTCTAGGATCTTCCCAGGTATTGATGTTAAACTGTAGTTTCCTGGGTCTGTTTTTTTCCTTTTCTTGAAGATGGGAACCACATCATCCCTTTTCCAATCCTCAAGTACTCCCCTGGTGCTCCAGGATTTATGAAAGATGTGGTGCAATGGTTCTGAGATAACATCTGCCAGCTCCTTCAGAACTCTGGGATTAATCTGTCGGGTCCCAATGATAATATTAAATCTGATGCAAAATTGAACATACAACAATTCAAAGAAGCTGTGCTTGACAGGGTAGCATGGAGAGCACTTGCCTATAAAGTCGCCAAGAGTCAGCATGGCTAAATGGTTGAAAACAAACATTGGTAACATTTTGGCGGGCTGGAGAGCTTGGAGGAGTGCCCACGTTTTCTAACAATTGGTGAATGTGATTTATGACAGGCAATTGGAGTGGGAATTGCAACTTGAAACTTTGTAACAAAGGGGAGGGGAATTTAGTTTTGGGTTCACCTTTGTATGTGCCATTATCTTGTAGCCAAATAAAAATGTTCTTTAAGGAAGAATTTTTTGCCTTGAAGTTCTTTTAATTGGTTTCATCTGTTGGAACCATGACACATTTTATTTCAGCATATCAGTATTGATGCTGGATTAGACAGATCAGTGGTCTGTCTCAGTTTTACTTTTCAACAAATTCTTGTTGGATGTTGTCCCTGCTTTGGGAAGAGGCTCAAAAATGGAAAGGTATTCTATAGTATCACTACACTCCTGTGAAACATCTCTTTGTATCAACATTAGTAGTAATTGCCCCAGTCCAACTCTTCCATTTAAAGGATACTCTGTATAAGAATATATGGAGATTTCATACAAGTTGTATTGTTCTGTAAAATTTTAACAACAAAAAACAATAACACATCTGTGGAAAATTGAAAAACAGCTGATCTTTATAGTTGCAAAAATTAGCATTAGCAATATTTGTCAATAGTACCAATGTTGAGACAAGCTATTTAAATTGTGTTTTAATTAATATAATATTGATTTCAATCCTGTGCATATTTTCTCATTTCCTCCTTCCCTTTTTATAGTTAATCATATTTATCACTTATGTGAGTGCCTCATAGTTTCTAGTCACTGTTGTTGACTAATTAAGCATCACTTTAATTGTCATTAATGTCAACATTTACTCAGATAATGTACTGTGTCATAATACTTGAGATGGTGCATTCATTTCTTGTTCTATAATTAGGGATTTAACTGCCAGTGTGAGCTACTTGTGTCTTTCTTGGTGATCCAGTATACAGGCTTACTTATTGTAGGTGAAGACACTATATAAAAGTTTAATAGTTTTCCACTTCAGTGCTCAAATTTAAAAAAATGCACAGGCTATCAAAAACTATTTGGGAATTGGCAAATCTTCAGATTAACTGCTGCTGTAGTGGTTTCTGTAAGGTCATTTGTGCATAAGGATCTTACAGCTTCTTCATAACATCATCCATAAATTGATCATTTTGATGCAATAATTTGGGGTGACTCCAGAAAATCCCATAATTACTCATGCAGAAATTGCTGGGCAGACACTGTGGTAGTCTGAGACATCTGACTGGCACCTAGTTGCAGAAGACTCCTCTAAGGTTTTGTGATCTTTTTTATGTCAAAAAGTCCTGAGATTTGCTGAGGGGAAAACTCTTGACTATGTAGTAGTTGTGGAGGGGCCAGAGTCAGTAGTGAGTGATGAATCAAAAAAGGAGAATTGGTGAGAGTCCATCTGATTTCTTTCAGGCTTCCTTTGTCTGCCTGTCTTAACTCCTTCTTCTGATTCTAAGGCCTATCTCAGGGATTATTTTGCATAATGCAGTTAGTCTAATATGCAGATGGCAAAGGCACGAATAATTACAACCAGATCTGCAGTAAACAAAAATGAATGTCATTAACCTCTCAGTTATACTGATCGTTATTACTTTAATAAGGATGCACTTAGAACCTCAGGTTGAAAAGGATGAATGCTCCAAGGTACTGTAACTGGATGTAAGCAGAAAAACGTTCATCAGCATCTTAATGAAATTGGCTCAGATCTCTGTATGTCCATATCATTCCAGTAATTTCCTTCATAAATATCTGCTTATTATGCTATAACAGCTAAAATATTTGTTCCAAAGATAATACTTTTTTTGATAAATGTGTCCTCAAGTATAGTCATAGTGCATCTATCCTTTCTTCTTTTCTTTGACATTTTTCTATGCTGTACTGATCCTTTCTTTTTCTGGGAAAAAATTAAAGCACAATAGAAACTGCAATGAGAAAATTAGGAAATGATATAATGTGAGTTTAGGCAAGATTGCTATTCTTTATCCTTCTAAATGTCTATTCAATTACTTATCTATATGCAAACTATTTCATTAAGGAATTATTAAAGTTTTGGGCTGGCTTTGTTTTACTGTCATGATACATAAACAATGAGATGGAAATTGCTTTTCTAATTTACTTCCATGTGCTTTGGAATATCAGATATATTCCCTCTATCTTAATTCAGGTGTACGGTTTTTTAAAAAAAATAATCAAAAACATTTCCATATCACCACATCTTTTACTCTGTAATCATTTCAAAAGCAGTTGGAACTCCTGCAGGACAAGGCAGAAGTACCCAGTGATGAACTACCCAGTTCCTGCCCACCCCAGAGTTACAGTGGGAATGTAACAAATCTGGTTTTGGTACATTTTCTCTAGATATGTAGCTGATTCAATGATTCAGAGCACAAAAGACTGTTGGAAATTCATTATAATTCATTAATTATAATATCACAAGTTTTAGTCTTACCCCTTTGTGTGTTTTCATGATTATATATGGAACACACACCCTATTGATGAAAAAGATTGAGCCAAAATAAGAGATAAACCCTTCCAACTTCCATTGTCTTTTAACATTTTGCCATCTTCATTGAGCAGCTAATAATTCATTTCTCTTCCATTTAAGTTGAACATGTTCTTAGCATTCATCACAAACCTCTTATTGCTGCGAGCATTAGTATTTCTGATACCATCTCTGCAGTTCCTGGCTATCTCTGTACATCTATCCATTCTCTGTCACAGAATCACAGAATGCAAAAGGCTTGGAAAGGACTTTGTAAGCTCTTCAAGCACCTGCCCAGTGCAATAATTCACTACTATAGCATTCCTATCCAACTTCTGTTTAAAAAAATTCAAGCAAAGGAGGGTCTACACTAGCAGCACATAGAATATTAGTGAGGGGAACAAATCATTATATGATATTTTGAACTTAAAACTTCTCTGAAATGTTTTGAATAGAGAAGCAATACAAGTTTAAAAGAAGAAATATACTCTGTTCCATTTGAGGAGGGTAGACAGGAAGATTTGCATATATCTTTCTTAAGTCATGAAAATTCCCACAGCAACTCATAAAACAGCTACTTGGCCTCTGGTGGTAAAACAAGATATCTCCCAATGTTGCAAATACTTCACTTCCATGAATAATAAGAATTTTTAGGGCAATACTACCCAATCCTATGTTTCATTTGGAGTAGAGCACATGGGAGGCTTACAGTAATTTTACAATAGTAAATTTATATATTTGAAAATAAAGTTTAAAGCAACAGGCATGTATATTTCAATGAAATGACAATTCTCAGGTATTCTGCCCAGAAGTACTTTTTCTCCAAGCAGGCTGTTTTCTACGTAGGCTGTTATTATTCATAGCTAAGTTTTCAGCTCTGAGATAGTCAGTTCATCCTAACTTTGAACACCAATCTTTCCCAAATGCTAGTCTTTTATTGGCCCATGTGTTCTTTATCAGATAGCATTTAAACTGTAACTTGAAAATAGAATATTGACATTTCTAGTTCCACTTCCAAGTCTTAAATCAGTGTGTACTTTTTTATTTTCAAAACTTTTTGTTCAAATGGGTTAGCTTCTGCTTCTGTTATCCTCACTGAGGTTTGCCTTTGAGCTTTTAGTGTCTCCCTTAAGGAATTCCTGTTTGCCTTGGGCTTCTTTTCCTATTAGCTTCTTCTGTCCTGGCATGTCAATTATTACTGCTCTGGGTTCATTAAAATCCAAATTCTGGAATCTAATTTGCATATTTGCTTACACTAGTTTTACTTTTTGAAAACCAAGGTCTGAGCATTACATGGCCCCTTTCCTTGTTGCTGTTTCCATTTACATAAGTAGTATCAAGTCAAGAATAGATGATCTTTTGGTGCTTTCCTATTTTTTCTGGAGACAATGTCACCAAACAAGCCGGGAATTTCCTACTAAGACCATGTTTACCAGAATATCTTCCAACAGATATCAGGCTCATTAAAACTCCCTATTACAGTTATTTCATGTCTTTTTAGAGGAACCGCAGTTTGTTTCTTTTGGATTGACTTAACACTTGGTTTGATGTATTCCTTCAGATCCACTCTGCTGTATCACCAAGTTCACCAACCCCTCCTCCCCTAATTGAGGTTGTGGCTTTTAAGGTAAGAGAGAGGGGGAAGAGGGGGATTACTTGGCCGCTTCTTTCATGCTGCAGCAGCAGAAGACTAGGCCCATCAAGGTGTCCTTTCACTGCCTCAGTCACCAGGAGTCTCTCCCCCTTCCTCCTATACTAATAGCTCTGGGGAGGGGAAAGCTTCCTCTCACACTCTCATTCAGAGTACAACTATCTGTGCATACAACACTCACAGTTTCTCTTCTCAGAAAGATCTCCCCAAAAGAATGCACTAAAATATAGGTCATTGCTAGATGGCAGCAAAGAGTTAAAGAGTTTTTCCTGATAGGTTATGCCTCTGGGGGCTCTGCTTCCAGTGTATGGTATGGCTATTGAGGAAATGACTGGTTTGGGAGCAAAATAAGGGAGCATATAGAACAGCAGTGGCGGCAACTTCTCCCTTCCCTCTCCCCCCATCTCATTCCCCTGCTTCCTTCCATATTTTTCTTACAAATTCCTACTGAGGATCTACACTTAGACTACCATGCCTGAGTTGCAAAAATCTGCATGATGGCTGCAAAAAATATAGGAGATTCTCTTTGCTGTTACAGAGTAATCATCTATATGTTCATGGTCCAGATCTCTGTTCCTACCTGTGCAATCAGGTTTGTTGAATGTGTAGGGCAGATGGCAAGGGAGGTGCTTTGTAGCAGGCCTCCTATGTTGCAGGTCCCAAGGTGGCTGTTTCTTCCGCCTTCTCTTTATTTATGCCTCTAGAATTGCTTCAAAAGCTGTGGTTTAAAAAGAGCTGAATTCAGTTTCCCCATAGCGATATGTGTGGTTAAAGTGTTTTCTGCACCAGACTGAGTGCTGCTTTTAACACCTGTTGTTTTTCTACTTCAGAAAACTGTTTCAAGCACTGTTTGAAACAGTTTGCTAAACAGTTTGCACTATGGTCTTCATACCAACTTTTGTAATTTCTGATTTTTCTTACAGAGAGTAAAAAGTACTTTTAAATATCTCATTTGTGCAACATTTGAGGATGTGAGGTTTTTTTTAATGAAACATAGGTAATGTTAAATTTTATAAATGATTGTCAATAAATAGCATTTTTGGCTACAGGAGCAAATCAATTCATTTCAGGTATTTTTCACATACATGTTAAAATGGTATATAAGTAAGAAATACTTCACATATAAAGAAGTAAAACAAGATTAGATGTACTAGAAATGTATCACAAAATTTACACACACACACACACACACACACACACACACACACACACACACACCAGGTTTCCAAATGGCTAAATTATATGTTTTGGGGGCATATAACTGTATAATCAATCAAACACCACGTATACATTAATTTTGTGATAGATTTCTTGTACATCTAATCTTGTTTTACTTCTTTGTATATAAAGTATTTCTTAAGAAAAAAATGAACATATAATAATCCTTCAGATTTGATGAAAATCCTTTGTTTAGCTGATCTGTACTAGCGGAAGTTAGGTTACAATAGAAAGAGCCTCCTTTAAAAAACTGAAATAGGGAGCATTTAATATTTTTTTTCTTGAGAGCTATGAAATGCATTGTGTACTTTTAAATTATTAGTAATGTTAAATAATATCTCTTGATTTGATTTGATTTGATTTGATTATGAGTCATATAGCCATTTTTGACTCTCAGCAATCACACAGATTTTCTCCATGACATTCTATTGCTAATCTAATCTTTCAAATCGTCCAATGGTGGACTCATTGCCACATGTTTCTGGCTGTCTTATTTTATTTCCTTCCACCTTTCCCAGCATTAGAGTCTTTTCCAGAACATTAGGTCTTCACATAATATCTCTGAAGTAGGATAATATGAGCCTGGTCATTTGTCCCTTTAGTATCTTCATTACCAGTGTTAAGGGTTGTTTTACCTGTTGGCATTAGTTTGGTCTTCCTTATATTTAATTTTAGTCCTATTTTTTTCACTTTGCTCCTTAACTTTTATTACTAGAATTTGCAGATACTTTGCATTTTAAGCTACCACAGTAGTGTAATCAGCACAGGACAGGTTATTAGTTTCTTCTCAGATTATAAAACCATGTCTATCTTCTTCCAGTCCAGGTTTCCTTAATATATATTCAGCTTGTAGGTTGAATAAATAAGGGGAGAGTATGCCACCTCATCTCCTTTGCCAACCTGGAGTCAGTCTGTTTCACCATGTTCTATCTGTCCTGACCTGTATATAACTTTCTCATGAGGACAATATATTAACAGCAGAAACCAACATTAATATAACAAGCCTAAAATATTTAGAAGACATACATTACCCTGAAACACAATGTATTCTGTGGGAGTTTTATGAAAATTAGCATAAGAACTGGTTAGAAAAGTGTTTTTTTTACTTTGAAAGAGGAAATTTACTTTGAAAAAGGAGATTATGTATTTTTTGATTTGTTGTGCTATTCCCTTTTTGAGTGGTGAATTCATTTTTATTTTATCTATGCTTAACATGAAGTATAATTTATTAAATAAAATTTAATAAAAAATAAAAATGAAAGCTTTCTTACTACTTCTCTTTCCAGCATAGTTCTAAAATATTTCATGCCAAATTCTATTGATTTCAGTTTTCATAAGCAAGATTGCATAAATAGTTACTAAAAAAATGCTGCAGACAAGGTTAAAATACAAAGTACATATGTACATGGATCCAATTCAGTCTGTATATTAAAACACAAATACCCTAACCTTGTCTACTTAGGGAGGAAGCATTGGTATTTGTTTAAGATATATTGATTTTTTTTAAGGTGGCAATTCTTTATCTCTCTTTGAGTGCTTACTCTACAAGGTCACTGGAAGAGGGTTTGAAAAGCTCTCAGTATACAAATAATACTCTATTAAATGCATGGTAGGCTGCAATCATTATGACATATTATAGTGTCACACTAGAGTCTCATAAAATTCTGGTGGTCTATAGTAGATCAGATCTGGATTACATGAGAGCAGTCTGAGTATTTGAGGCTGCAGAGACTGGCTACCTTTAGTTTCAGCTCATAGGAATGAAACTAGTCTGATCTAATTCTAATCGGCTTTTGCCCAAATGCTTCAACTACTTACAATTGCTTCAGGAAACTAATATAAGATTTATTCTGTCAACTTTATTCTTGAGAGAAGTAGCAGCAACGACATAAAAATCAAACTATATAGATGATAAAATGACTACTTGTCAACAGTCTATGAAATGATTCGGGAAACTGAGATGATCTAGCAACTTGCTATGATATCTAGATATGAAATAATTAGAAATATTTTTCTCTATAGTTCAGTGCAGTATTTAAATAGGAATTTTAAAATGAAGTCAAGGTAAAAATATTCTAAAAACATTTTAAATATACACTTATCAATGGATAAAAAACTAGGATTTGTAAATAGCCAATGCTTAATTTTTTAAATTAAATCAGAGTTTGGTAAAATTAAACATTTTATTTAGAAGCATTCTCAAGCAGGAAATTTGTAGTTTAGTTACTCTAAAATATATTTCTGTAGAAAGTGTATATGGCCATTCAATTTAAGTGAATAGTTATCGATTCCCACAGAGTCAGGGCATCCAAATTTCAGAGGAGAGGCTGTTGCATTTCTGAAATAACCAAATGATATTGGAAACTTATTTGCTTCAAATTATTTTTCATTTGGAGGTCACTTTTTGCCTGAAGGTTTAGGGTTAGAATTAGGATTAGGTTGCCTGAAGGGTATTTATCAATAAATAAAATGTGTTCCAAACCTATATTTCACATCTGTGGACCTATTTTTCCAATAAACTGAAGGGTTTTGGAACAAAGGGAAATTGTTTAGTCTAACTGTTGCTTTCTTGCTTTTTGTAATCAGTTTTTGCACTAGAGAAATTTCATGCAAGCTTGGGAAACATGTACATGGATGGGATATACTGAAGGAGGGAATAAGGGAGTGATGTAATGGCTCTGTTGTCTGATTTTCATTGGCTAACAAAGTTTTTAAAGCAATGCTACCAACTTTCTAATCTGTGGCACTTCTGGATGTAACTCTACCAGCGTTCCAGATTGTTGGCCACTCAGTTGCTTAATTTGATCAAATAAAGTGCTGCTTGATCAGGAAGTCTCTGCTTGGGTTATCTGATTAGATTGATATGGTATCAAGTAAGGAACTGGGACCTTACATTTCTGGCGAACCGAACAGGGATTTGAAAGTTTTTTCTTTTCAAGGTTGTTTTTTTCCCCTGTGAATGAGTTCCATTGTAACTTACAACCTTCAGGCATGACATCCAGGAAAACTGGTGTGGCCAAAAAATAAAGTCAAGAGCGCCCCCCAGACCCTTTGTGTCTGGTGACTTTTAAATTGGCCAGCCCAGCAGACCTGAGTTTGTCTGAACCCTGAATGTTTAAGGAGATTTCCATCTCATTACAGTGAAGGTAGGAGGAGACGAGAACACAGGAGAAACTTGGTAAGTATAAACAAACATTCTGGAATTAGGAGAAGATGGGGAGTGCTGTTTGCATGAATGAAAAAATGAAATGGAGAAATTCCTGTTAGAGGTCTGCTCCGGAGCGACAGGGAGAGTGCTTATTGAGTTTCAGGCTGTTATTAGGCAGGGTCTGTCTGAGAAAAAGGGGGGCCTAACTAGCCTTGATCTTGATAAAAAGACCGAGAAACCCATTAAGGACAAGACAGAGAAAACAGGTTAAACAATGGGGAAACAGGCAAAGCAAAGGAAGAAGAGAAGCTGTGCTTCCAGTAGGCTGCATGCTAGCCCATTGGAAAGCACTGAAATTGTGGCAGTAAAAATAATCTTCAAGAAAGCAATGTTGCAAAAATTTTGGCTAGCTTATCTTTTAAACAAATCTATCCACAGAAGAAAAGAAGGAAAAGAAAAATTCAAAGAAGAATAAGTCCCCCCCCCCCCAATCTGGCTCTTTGAACGTACATTTTTTTTCTGTTAGACAATGGTACCATCTACTTTCCTTGGACGTGAAGAGAGGAGGCTGCTCTCTATAGTTTTCCCCTTTGAATTTGCTGGGAAAAATTGGAAACAACCATAAATGTTCCCCTCCCTTTTTGGAGAAAGATTAAATGGGAGGCTGCTTTGGCGTCAGAATTCAAATTGATGAGTTTTAAATATTTGGCCATCCAGAAAATTAAGTGTGGGCTTAGAATGGTGAGAAAAATAAGAGATGGTTCAGGGCCCAACGTCACATTTTGACTGGAATCACATCTTGATTTTTCTCACTTCTTGGAGGACAAGCAACAGGCCTGGAAATGTTGTCTTAATGGTATCTGTGTATATATGTGGGTCTGTGTTGTTTTGTGTTATTTCTAAGACTTGGAAAAAAGGTCAAAAATAAATGGTTTGCCTGGAAAAAGCATGAAAATGAAATATCTGTATGTGAAACTGTGTATGCAAGCAGTTTGAATGGAAGTGAATGTGTGAGTATGCTGATGTATGTGTATGTGTGTGTGAAAGGCAGAAATTTAGTTGCCTGCAATGTGATATTGCTTGAAGAAACTGGGAATCATAAAAACTGTGTGACTGTTAAGGAACCCCCCCCTGTAGGTTGGGGAGGGAGGGAGTGCGTGAGTTCCCCACCCCAGGCTGTGGAAGAAACAGTAAATTGCAGATTTTGTTGTTGTTGTTGTGGACTAAGTAAAAGGTGTTTGCATGAGAATCTGAAGAGAGAAGTTTGGGTTGATCATTTTAAAACTTTTTTTCTCTCTGCTTAACTCTGGCCTGGAAGGCAGAGGGAAAGAGGAGGGGGGTGAAGTCTGAGATTGTAGTTTTTTGGCTTCTATTCGAACTTTGCTCAGGGACAAAGAACAAAGCTAGCTTGTTTAGCAGGGCTTCTCCTTGTCGCAAATGTATCATTTGGTTTGCCTGATGCAGTTTGTGTTCAAAAGCTTAGAAATGCAGAATCTGTAACATCCCATTCCCCCAACTCCCTTTTCTCTGCTGAAGCTTTAGTTCTGTTCAAAGTTTTTGGGCTGGTTGCCAACAATATCATTGATAGGAATATTTATATCTGAAAGAAGGTATCATATAGGAAAGCCAAAATAGATCTCTGCATGAAACCTTAATATTGATTCATATATATAGTAATACAGTTTTTAATTTCCTGTCCATTTGGTTAAATGCCGCAAAATATTTTCTCCTTTGAACATTCTTCCAAACTGCTTTCTAACTCTTCCTAGACTAATTACCAGTTTTCTTTTTTATAAGGACTTGATTACCTTTAGCGAGGATGAATCCTGTCCTGTGGCTGTGGAATCAACATTTCCAGCTACTGTCTGTAAAGAGGAATTGGCAAAAGGTACAAAGGCACCTGCTAATAACTCCTGGAATACAGGTATGTAGAAAATAAACTGAGTTTGTACTAAATCACATATTCAGTGGTAAGCAATTGGGAGTAAATGATTTATTATTGCATTATATGTATCTCCCATTTTTTTCCCTGAAAAGCTTTCATGAAATCACTCCTCAGTTTATTCTCTCAGCTGCAACTGAGTGAGATAGGTTTTGTTGAGAGAACTAGCAAGTGAATTCCATGGCTGCATCTTGCATCTGTTTTTCCCTGATCCCAGCTCCACACATAACTACACAGAAAGATATGGTAGATTCAAACTATGTTAGATAAAAATGCTTTTAATGTTATATATTTGGCTTTGACGCTCTACAGTCACTCAGGATTCTTGTTGTACTTATCCGAAGGCTAGCAGTAGACTGTTTATTTACAGCATACACAAATGACTAATGGAATTTAATGCATGAAAATGTTCTGATGAACATTAGCTTTGCTTGGCACATTCTGTGCTTTCAGAAATGGTTGCCATAGAAACAACAACAAAAACCAAGGTAGTATTTCAGCTGTGTGAAGTTATTAATAGGGAAATAAACTGTTGAGAGGTTGAATTCAAAAGAGATAATTTTATTTTCATATCAGATCTTATGTCCTAGGAGATAAAGGAGATTTGACCACAGATCTGAACTGCCCATAAAAATATGTACGTGATGGAAATAGATATACAGGAATTAATGTGAAATAGAAAATAAATTCATCATTCTGAACATGAACTAGGAACCAAATGTTCATCTCTTCACTGCTGTGAATACAATAGCAAACATTCAACCAACATACAGTTGAAAACTAATGGGCTTTATGTCATATTTTTCAGTAGCTATCTTGTCAAAATGATAATCACATACAAATTTGTAGTCTAAATTAATATTGAGTTATTTCAGGACTAGATATACTCAAAATTAAGTCAATTTATATTGAAAATTGAATTTTCAGCTGGGTTTTGCCTAGTCCCACATTTGCAAATGTGCCTTTACACGTTTTGCCTAATGCAAGAGTTTCTAATGGTTTATCTCTGAACAGAATTTATTACACATCTTAGAGAGAAACTATGTAATACCAGTATAGTTCTTTTCTAGAAAGAGACAGTATTATGCAGCATAAGGAAAATCTTAAAATAAATTAGAAAAGTAATGATAAAAATTTGTAAACTTATGAAGTTTTCTACAGACCTTTGAGATCCAGCCTCTCTAATGAGGACTAGAAAATATCGAGGCTGCTATATTCATTTCCATGAACAAAGCTAGTTCTGAATGTAAACCTTCATCTAACAGTAGTACCTATATATTAAATTTACATGGTGTCTTTTCAGCCTGGGAAAACACTCACTTAAAACCACAGAATCGTTTTAAACAGCATACCAATACACATTACAGGCCAAAATCTTCAATAGCTAAACTTAATAAGAACTACACACTGTTACCTCATTAGACTCTTCAATGTTAGTGAGGTTTTCTTATGTCTCAAAAGGAAGTTATGCTAGCCATTTTTATTGGGGAGGTATTTTATATTACTTATGCTTTTGTATAAAGATCCATGTAGCATTTTGCAGGGAACATTATTACTATGACAAAGAAACTTCTCTACATGCTTTTAGGGAAAAGCAGCTTCTGCACTAAAAACTATTGTACTATTAGGATGTTCTGAGTACAATTACTGTGAGAAATAGTAATTGCACGTTCAGTTGAAAAATAATTCTGAGTGGTGGGACACATTTATTTCTCTTCTTCTCTGAGAAGTTGACAAATATAGGCCAGAACCATCTCACTGAATAACTGTTTCTTTTTACAAGAATAGTAAAAAATTTCATACGAAGTTATCTTTTTGCTCTCTTTCTAAAAAAAAAAAATGTTTGTGGAGAACCAATCAAGCCATGACCTATCTTTTTTTTTATGTGATTTCTTGTTCCAACAAAACATGTCAACTAATATTCATTTATTTAAAGAGAGTCACTGGTTTGCTCTGTACAAACTTTCCAAACTTTGTTTCAAATTGTGAAAACTTTTATCTGTAGGCCAGGAATATCTTAGTTGAAAGAAGGTGCTACTCAGAGTCAGGTTCAATTGGAGCAGCTTATACGATTGCAGATAAATACATCAATGATGAACCAGGTCTAATCTAGGCTGGCTTTTTTGAGATCGGGCAGAATGAGCTAGGTATTCCCACTTGTTCTGGAGAAAGACCTGAGGTGGAACGTGCATCTGGAGAATGCAGTTCTGAGCTGGAGGGGGAGGGGGAGGCAGGAAGACATTCAGCATAGCTACACTCTAGAACAGGGGTAGTCAACCTTGGCTCTTTTATGACTCGTGGACTTCAATTCCCAGAATTCCTGAGCCAACTTGGGAATTGAAGTCCATGAGTCATAAAAGAGCCAAGGTTGACTACCCCTGCTCTAGAATCTGTCAAGACATAATTGTTAGATTAGAGGGTTATAACTTTAATTTTGCAAGATTCTGTCCATTAGGTGTAAGCAAATAAAGGAATTAGGGATTGCAAGAAGCAGTAAGCACAAATCATAAGTGACTTGCTGTTTGTTAAAAAAAAAGGTTACAAAAGCTGATGGAATTAGCAGAGATGGCCAAATTGACTGCTGATAAAAGAAAAGAACATAATTACTTTTGTTTCTACTTGGAAACCATTTCTGGTTTCTGCTTGAGGTGGAAAAAATGATATCATGATTTTGAGTTTTACTGATTAGACTGATTTTCCGATACAGAAATGGCTAGTACATACTACTATAAAAATTTAAAAAGTTGAGATTTGATTTTAATGTCTGATTTTACTGCAACAAGAGAGAGTCGGAAGTCAATGCCTTTTGTTTCCCCCCCTTCTTCACACCTTTTTTGTTTTCCCTTTTTCTACTGTTGTCCCCTACTATTTGCTTTTGTATTTTCACATTTTATGTTATAAATGAATAAAACTAAATAAAATAGAAAAAAGGCAATATTTCAAGACAAATTGAATAACATCAATGAATTTGCATCTTCCTTGAAAATGTATATTTAAATGATAGTAAACATTTAAAGCAGACAAGAAAAAAAATATTAGTCAGGAATATTCATCTTAGCTATTTTAAAGTTAGCTATCCTTGGAAAGAATTGCATAAGGGAAACAGTTAAAAGACTGGAAATGCATCAGACTACTTTGAGATCATTTGCCATTTAACAGAATAACAGAATAAAAGAGTTGGAAGGGACCTTGGATGTTTTCTAGTCCAACCCCCTGCTCATGCAGGAGACCCAATACCATTTTTGACAAATGATTGTCCATTCCCTTCTTAAAAGCCTCTAGTGTTGGAGCACCCACAATTTCTGAAGGCAAGTTGTTCCATTGGTTGATTGTTCTAACTGTCAGGAAGTTTCTCCTTAATTCTCAGTTGCTTCCCTCTTTGTTCAGTTTCCATCCATTGCTTCTTGTCTTGCCTTCAGGTGTTTTGGAAAATAGGTTTACTCCCTCTTCTTTGTGGCAACCCCTCAAAGATATGAACACTGCTATCATGTCACCCCTAGTTCTTCTTTTCACTAGACTAGACATACCCAATTCCTGCAAATGTTCTTTTAGCGTTCAGCCCCCCAATCATCTTTGTCATTCTTTCTGCACTCTTTCCAGAATCTCAGCATCTTTTTTATATTGTGGTGACCAAAATTGGATGCAGTATTCCAAGTGTGGTATTACCAAGGCATTATAAAGCAGTAGTATCACTTTTTGTGATCTTGATTTTGTCCCTCTGTTAATACAGCCTAGGATTGTGTTGGCTTTTTTGACAGCTGCAGCACATCGTAGGCTCATATTTAAGTGATTGTCCACTAGGACTCCAAGATCACTCTTGCATTACTGCTGTTGAGCCATGTTTCACCTAGTCTGTACCTGTACATTTGGTTTTCTTGCCTAAATGTAAAACCTTGCTTTTCTCTACATTGAATTTCATTTTTTTAGATAGGACCCAGTGTTCAAGCCTATTGAGATCCATCTGGACTTTGAGCCTATCTTCCGGGGTATTGGCTATTCCTTTTAGTTTGGGGTCATCTGCAAATATGATGAGTTTTCCTTCTATTTCCTCATCTATATCATTTATGAAGATATTAAAATGTACTGGGCCTAAAACTGAACCTTATGGCATTCCACTACTTTCCTCCTTCCATGTAGATGCTGTTCCATTAAGGACTACAAGTTGAGTGTGATTTGTCAACCAGTTACGAATCTGTTTGGTGGTAATGCTGTCTATCTCTCATTTTTCTACTGGTTTGTTTTTGTTTAAATCAAGTACAGTTTAAGCCAGAAATAGAGTGTGAATTCCATATAGAGAAAGGTTAATGATATACAGATGTTTTAATAAAATTGTGTCACAATTGTTTTCTGAAAAAAGAAAGGATCCCACAAATACTTGCAGCCCTGCTGTGAGGGTTATTCTAGATATTTGTTGGATTATCTGTGAAATAATTTCACTTGTAAAGCAAGATTCCAATTTAAGTGAATCTGAACAACTTTATAAAGTACTATATGCCATAGGAAGTCATCTTTCTCCAATTGTCTCAGCTCATCCCACATATTTAGTAGAAGAGGCATACTTTAGATCAGACATGTCAAACTCTCAACATAACGTGACATCGCACAACGTATCGGGACGATTTTGCCATGCCGGCAATGGGGTTGGCGCAGCTTCTGGATGATGCGTCTGGCCCATGGGCCGGCAGTTTGATACCCCTGCTTTAGATCCCTTCTATTAAACAATTACATTGAATACTTTATTTGGCTAAGTGTAATTGGACACACAAGGAATTTGTCTCTGGTTCAAAAAGCACTCAGTATACATGCAAAACAACACAATAATCATAATAATGTCACCTTGGTGGACCTAGGAATTATGCCTTCTCAGTGGCAGCACCTGCCTTGTGGAACAGCATCACCCTGGATATCCAAACTCTTAATCCTGTTTTCCAAGGCTGGACCAAGAAGTTACGCAAACTCTGTTCTTGATGTGCTTTTTTTGA